AAGGTTTAAACTAATAAATATTTCTGGCAATATCAAACGTCTATAGCAGACAAAAAGTTACCTTTTCTCATAAATGTAAAGATCCTGCCTGTCTCGCTCTCCTTTTTCAACTTCTTTCCTCAAACTATCAATTTCAGCTAACAAACTATTTAATTTGGCGCGAAGCAGCGACATGTAGTAAGATTTGTCCATTATTTGTCGGTTGAGTGATGCTAAAATAATTTTAAATTAGCTCAGGTCCAGTTCAAAAAAGTGGTAGTTTTAAGCTGCAGATCTGCCTTATACATATTTTTTCGTTCTGTTTGCAAATGAAAAGCTAAAGTTAGGAAGCAAATGCTTGAAAAAAAAAAAAGAGAAAATAAGGCATCAGTTATAAAGGACCATATATTGTGGTATATCCAGCAATCTACAAATCTAAATAAATTTTTTTTGAGTCTGTATATCTGCTAGTTTTGTCACAAATCCGTCAAAATCACTCTTACTTTCAGGTCGCGATGCTGGTCTGACACCAACTAGTCCTTGTTTCGTGATCGGTCGACTGGCTGTTCTTGGCGGTATTATCATGCCTGCAGTTGTTAAACGACCTCTTTCTGTATCTAGTCGGCTAGGAAGGCGTACACTCTGAAAAGTAAAGCCACCCCGTAGCCTTCAAATTTAGTTGCTTTATGCAACTAGTATGCCTTTAATAACCGTAAATTCCAAGTTTACGAAAGTTATCAGGAAATCAAACTAATGGACTATAAAAATTGTTGAACACTTACCGCTACTCTACCTTGCGATATTGAACCACTTCGACTTGCTGGAAACGAAATGTAAATGAAGGAGTTTCAACTTTTTAAAATAAACATTCAGGTGTTTTTTCCTATCTAAGATACAAAACAGTACTCTACCTGCATAATCGGAAACAGAAACATCAGACTGCTCTTCAGTTCTACTCGGTCGCCTGTCTGATGAGTTTTCTACAAGCAAAGATTTATTAGAAAGATTGCCAAATTCTCCGACTTATTTAATGGTATGTTAGTTTTTGATAAGCCTTTAATCAATAGGCCTTTTTACGTACAAAATCCAAGGGAAGAAATTGCCTGACTGCTAACTTTACTATGCATTAATCTACTGCTTTAACGTTTAGTTTTAAGATAAGCAAATGAATGCAGTTTCTGACACAGCATAAGATAAAATTAATTATCATCTCACGGTATGAAGTTGTTGGTACGCGGTATCCACGCGACGATGCAGCTCTGTTTCCAGCTGATGTTTTTGGCCTTGCAGTTGTTGGTCGAGACATCTTCCTTTGCGAAAGCACTTCTTAGTCTCGGTATCCTCTAAAAAACACGAAAATAATTGTGTCTTCATCTGAAATTATCTAAGGGTCGAAGAAATGTGAGTTATTTCTGTTTAAACAATTGTTTAGAAGAAACAATTATGTACATTTGCAGGTGCAACTGTTTAAGTATTTCCAAAACGGCGGTCTCCTTGGTAACCACTGAAAGCATTGCGTGGCAATTTATATATAAATTCAAAAACCGTCGTTTATCAGAACGGATGTTAACAATTTAGCACAGTTCGGTAACATAATGAAGCTCTGCATTTGATAATTGTCTAAAACATTATACTTTTATTTAAAAAAACTTTTTTGAAACTATATTCAATTTTAGCTGCTCTTTGCTGCCCGCAATCAATGAAATGTCACAAGCAGCACTTTTTAACTAGATTATCTTTAAAAAAACTTCAGAAGTAATATATGACGCCTAGTCAATAACCAGAGTTCAAAGTACACAAGAGCAACTAAAACCAGCAATTTTACTGAAGGAGAAGTTTAATGACAATTCGTGTATGAATAGATTCCCTTTTTATCACTAAATTATTTGACCTAGCTCATTCAACAGCAAAACAGAAAAAAATTTCTCGCCACAAATTTTTCGATCATTTTTCACTCGAGTGAAAAATATTCAGTAGTTTTCAAATGTACCTCTTGTAATCTACCTAAAATTTACCTTCTAAAGCAGAACTTTTTTTTTACATAACTTTCCTTTTGTTACTGCTTTCTATTTGAAAAATATATCCGTCATATACAAGAGGTTTAAATTTCTAAGGCACATTATTTGGTAAAAAGCTATGAAAGGAAATTTTGCCGTAGATATCTGGACGGTTCAATAAAATACAGATACAAAAAATTCCACATCAACTTCTTCTTCTTATTTGTTACTGGCCCTTATAACGGTCAGAGTGCCACGAATTTCCAACAGCTTATTTGATTGTTTGCATCCTCTAAGAATTAAAATTCAGCAAACCACATTACTTATTTTGATATCGCCTTTTAACCTTCTTTGTTGCAAACAGTTGTACAAAATAAACTTCAGAGTTTCTGCACTTTTGGCTGAAGTAATTTGAAATGCTGCAAAAAGACTAACATCAGTCCTGTTATAACAGTTTTGCAATCATTAGGCGGCTGTCGCAAAGCAACAAGGAATGTTGTTGATGTCCATACTAAAAATAATAGGAATCTTTTGAAATACATAAATAAAACAATAAACCTCTTGTAGTTCCTAGAAGATTGGTCAAATTGCCATTATCGGGAACACAATAGCTTAACCATTCACGTATTAATTTATCATTGAACAAATGCCTATTTAAGCAAAGTGTTGAAACGTTTCTACAGATACACTGATAGAAACATCCATTGTGTATTTTGCCTTCAATGGATTGCCAGTGGCAGCAATATTGATTGTTCATTACTTTCTTATGCTAGTGACCCGTATACTTACAACGTTAACTATTTCTTTGTTTGATTTTATAACTTATGTAAAGTTCCCGCGAAAGCGAGGAATAGTACAAATTGTGATTCATTGTTGATACTTCTTATTGCTGATTTGTTGCGTTTGTTAAGTGAATTTTGATATTACTTGTTGAATTATATTTGGCTGCTTATTGAGTGTCAAGGAACTTACAAAGTGTCAGATCAGTGATTTATAATTATCTTTGTCGTAATAAAGTGTTATATAATATTTTAAGTGTTGAGACAAAGGTGTGAGACTGTACTTGGTGGAAGGTTAGGAAGACAAAACCTTCTAAGTTAGTATTTGTTATTTCGAGTCAAATTTTTATTTTGTTTCTCAACAGTGGCTCTGCTAAGATCGAATTTAAACGTTATAGTAGGAGGTCATCATACTCGTCTATAGTACAAACTTGCATCTTTAGCCAACGGCAAATGTGCCTAATTTTTTGCCAGTAAAAGAGCTTTTTTATAACCTTCCGCTAATAGTTATTCTTGTAGTTCTATTCAAGGTTCTTTCATAACGTTGAAAAAACTCCCTTGTAACAATATTACTACTGTTTCAAGCAGAACAAAATATTTGTATCCTCCTGAATAGTGCACTAGAGTGAATGCGATTGTTAGCGCCTGAGCTATTACCAGCTTTGAAACCAAGGAGTTTGCCAAATATGTTAGCGTTCTGCCTACTCCGGAAAGCACTTCAAACATTTTACAGATTGTAGAATTCCATTCAGGATTCTATTTCTTCAGGGATGTGTTTAATTCAATTTTAAAAAGGGTCACTGCAAAACTGCTTCAGCCCGATAAGAAGAGTACTGTAACTTGCCAGCGTCAGTTTTCAGTGCTGGTGGTTCTTCTAGTCTTGTTTCTTAAAAAAATTTGACAACTGATGTTGCACTACCTGTCTATAGAAGTTTGAACTTTTTATTATTCAAGGACTTCAGGTATCTAATTCCTGAAGCAGCAGATTCTCCTTCAGGGTTTTTTCCCTGATTGTCTCATTTGCTGCTTGCCTTGCTGGATTTAGTCACACTTTATGGCGTACAACCTCGCCGTCAACGGTAAGCAAAAAGCACCATAAGTTCTTTACATCTCAATTAAAGAGACATCAAACCCACTGCTTGAAGGGTAATTTTGAAACGATGCTAAAATTGTTAAAAGCTGGATCCTTCGTTTCTCTTAACAGAAAGGATGGAAAGAAATGAAAAGTCATTTTTGATACGATGCCGCTTCCTAAAGATTTCTCCAACTGAACTGAATCCAAGTCCGGAGATTTTGTACTGATAAATGGAATCTCACTTTTTCCACTTACCCACCAAACCTGTTCTTTAGCCGCTTCATTAACTGTCATCAGGTTCTTTAAAGTTTCTTTGACAAGGATTGCATGCAAAATGCCACTTCAAGTAATTTTATAAACGAACATATACATGAAATACTAACGTTGCGTAAGACTGAATTCTTAATTATTCGCCCATTTGTGAATAGTATAAACTTGTCCTTTTTTAAGTGCGGGAAAAAGCTGGGTCTTTTGCCTCCTCTTCTTCCAGATAAATGCTTGTTAGTCCCATTCAGTTTGGTTTACGAGATGAAAATTGCTAGTAATGCGGTACTAGGCAAATAATGGAAGAAATATGAAAATGAAGACAAATTGTTCTAAGTATTGCGACTTAAACTTTGGCTCTAAATTTCTAATTGAAAGTCCTTGGACGCAGTATTTTAACTGTATAAGGGTCAGCTGATTAGTAGCGCTTTATTAGAGAGAAAGATTCAGAAGACGAGATTTAGAGCACTAAACACAAACAGAGGGGATTTAACGAAAGAAAGACCAAAATAGGCAAAAGGACGCCAGGACTGAAAATCGCAAAAGACAGAACTAAATATATAACAAGAGTACAATATTAAGAAAACTTTATCACGCATAGAAATCATCCACTTCAGCATATTTCAACAGTTGCAGCTGTCCAGTTCGTGGCCTTCGTACCGATGGAGCTATCACGTCCAAAGTGCCAATAAATTTTTTTAGTTCTCAAGGGCAATTATATATTTCTGTAAAGTTTTATTTTTTCTATATTTGACGATTGAAACCTTATACAGCAGGTAAAAATAATTAGCGATAAGAAGGATATGTACTTCTATATAAATGCTAAGCCCCTTGATCACGTTTATGAACGAGAAAAGTTTTGAATTTTAAGAGAAGTCCTGACTGTGCAAAATCCTGGAAAACATCTGCAATCTAAAGAAGTATAATCAGAGTAATAGTTACTTTTATTCCAGCTTCTCTTTGCAATTATTTGAGCTGGAAACCATGTTCTACCATTGAAGAAAACTTTAAACAAAAAATCTTAGATATCAGCTAAAAACGTTCGTGATTTTGTACCAAATGATCCATGTAGAACTCAGACGCACAAAAAAGTCCACTGTGCGCGGAGCAGCCAATAACTGTTGTTACTAAAACTCTAAAAACACAAAACTTGACTTTTTTTTTTTTGCTTTGTTTCCTTCCTAATGGCAGCAGATTCTAATCCTCTTTGTCTTCGGGTAAAGAAGAAAATGGAAGCTAAATTAAGCTTTCAAATACAACAAGTGTAACTGTAGTTTTGTTATTCATCTGCGAAAAACTGAGCTGTATAGTTTTAAAAAAAAAA